AGATAGATGGATGGATGGATGGATGGATGGATGGATGGATGGATGGATGGATGGATGGATGGATGGATGGATGGATGGATGGATGGATGGATGGATGGATGGAAACAGGTAAACCTGCTTGATAAGCTAGAGAAGCCAAAGAGACCGAGGTGTGAATTCTGAATTTAACATTCCTAACCCTTCCATTACTTGCTAGATCCAAGCTGGGAGAAAAAAGATTTGGGAGTTCTGTGGCACAGCTTCTCCAGGGAGCATTGAAACCAACAGCTCTTCGGTTGACATCCTTTTCTCCACAGATGAGTCAGGATTCAGCCGTGGGTGGAAGATCCGGTACATCACAGAAAGTAATGTATCCTATCCAGCAGGTTTTCAATAAATGCTGCTTAGCCATCTGCCAGGGCTTCCTTCATTTTTGCTGTCGTTTCCAACAGGAATCCGTTGTCCACATCCTGTGCCAAAGGATGAGTTCACTGTAATAAAAAACCGACAGCCCCTGTACCGATTTCAAGACTACTTCATCGTAAATTGTAAGGTTGGATATAAGCTGATGGAGGTGAGGCATACTTTATTTCTCATCTGGATACCTTTTTCTCACTTTCTACCTTCTACCTTCAAGTGTCTTCTTGATCCTAAATGCTGAACACTCTCTTCTTCCAATCTTTTTCTTAGGAACAGTTATTTTTTTAAAATGTCAGAAACAATTTTTTCCAGAAAAATTTCCCTCCAGCTTGAGAACAAAGACACACAATACAGTGATGCCCCGCATAGCGACAATAATCTGTTCCGAAATCGTCGCTATACGGATTCGTCGTTATGCATTCCTATGGGCAAAAAACTCACAGTTCTGCGAAAATCCTCCATGCGGCTGCCATTTTCACTGCCCGGTAAGTGAGGAAAGGGCGCGAAAACACTGCAGGCGGCCATTTTCTTTACCCGGTGGCCATTTTGGAACCACCGATCAGCTGTTTTAAAAACATCACTATGCGAAAATCGGTAAGCGAAACGCTTACCGATCATCGCAAAGCGATGTTTTGCCATCTAAAACATCATTATGCGATAGCTTTTGCGATCACAAAACCTCAATCGCTATGCAGATTCGTCATTAAACGAATCGCTCGTTATGCGGGGCACCACTGTATATGAGAATCTGAATAAAGGCAGAAAGAGAAGAGAATTTGTGATTACACAATTTTGGCCTGTTAGGTAAAGGCAAAGGTTCTCCTTTACATTTAGTCCAGTCATGTTCTACTCTAGGGGCTGGTGCTCATCCCCGTTTCCAAGCAATAGAGCCAGCGTTTGTCCGAAGACAATCTTCCGTGGTCACATGGCCAGTGCAACTAGACACGGAACACCATGACCTTCCCACTGTGGTGGTACCTATTTATTTACTTGCATTTAGATGCTTTCAAACTTCTAGGTTGGCAGGAGCTGGGACAAGTGATGGGAGCTCACTCCGTCATGTGGATTCGAACTGCTGGTCTTTCGACCTTGCAGCCCAGAGGCTTTGTGGTTTAACCTGCAGCGTCACCCAATTTTGGCCTGTTACTGCAAACCAAATGAAGAAATGGGTGGGCTGTGGGGAAACGAATATAACAGAATTTAAATTAGTACAGAGCTCAATCCTGGAACTTATTATATATGTTAAGGTTTGCCTGTGTTTGCATCTAATGTTAAGCACAGCGAAGTCTTATGAATATGTACAAGGTGACTTTTCCGCACTGCTGTATCTATAGCTTTAATCACAAAAAAGTACAAAGGAAGAATGGCATGGCATTCAAGGCCAAAAGCAGTTTGAAGAAGAAAGCGGATCCATGGGAATAAAAGAAAATCTATGATGGCACAGATGCATATCTTTCTAGATATTTTAAACAGAATTTTGTTATCCAGGCTAATTCTCAGCTGCTTTCTATTGAACAGGGCAATGAAGAATTGACATCCTTCACTTCAGTTTGTCAGCATGATGGGACTTGGCACCGTCCAATGCCACGGTGTGAAAGTGAGTAACTAGCCATTCCCTATGACTGGCTACAGAGGGCCATAAGCAAGACTGATTGTTCCATTAAGCAGAATAAGAAAAGATTTTTGAGTACCAGGAAGGAGCAGAAAATTGCTGAATTACCGTATTTTTCTGTGCATAAAACGCCCCCCCCCCACTTTTCTAATCCAAACTTAAGAAATCTAAGTAGAGCTTAGCAAGTGTAGGGGGAAAGGGATCAAAGCGCTGCAGGATTGCTTTGATCCCTGCTTTCCCTTCCATTTGTTTTTGTTCTCAGCTTACTTCCGTGTATAAGACAACCCTCAATTTTTAGTCTAAAGATTTTAGACAAAAGTATAGTCTTTTACACGGAAATATACGGTATTTAGTTTATTTTTGTTTGAATATTTTGTTGATTTACGTACTACAGAGAGCTGCTCGGCAAAGGAACCGGTGCTTTTTCAGCTTCGGCTTCTGAAATTGCTTGCCCAAGCCTTAGCTGCCAGGTCTGGTACCATTCAATTTCACCTCCTGTTTGTGCTCAGCTGTACCTTGATATCTGCCTTGGATATTGAGTCACACACATGAGACTATATGGTGGTGAGAAGGTTCCCTGGGTTATCATGTGCTCTGTGTCCAGCCAAACAACCTATTGGACTTCAGTCTGGCAGTACTGCAAACATTCAGGCCAGACTTGGACTTTAGCTAGGCAACATGCAGTCTGTATGAATGTCTGTCTTCACATCTTCACACCTTGGTTCCAGAAAAAGAAATGACTTTGGCTTTCCACTTGATTTTTCTCTAGAGGCTGTGCATGGCTTCCCATCTGACATGCTGCCAGGTTGCATAAAACCCTATAGGTCAGGGGTCTCAAACATGCAGCCCGGGGGCCATTTGTGGCCCACCGGATGATAGTTTGCCGCTGAAGCACCCATGCGTCCTCTGCTGTCAAAGTAAAAAAAAAAAAGCCTCGCCTCACTTGACGGCTCTCTCCCAAGACGGCGCCTCTTGTAATCTCCATCCAGAACTGCCTGCCCCCCCAAAGCACCCACGCGTCCTCCGCTGTCAAAGTAAAAAAAAAAAGCCTCGCCTCACTCGACGGCTCTCTCCCAAGACGGCGCCTCTTACAATCTCCATCTGGAATTGCAGCCTGCCAGCCACCCTGCTTGTCTGCTGGCTGGCAGGCTGCAGTTCCAGATGGAGGGTGCAAGATGCACTGTCTTGAGGGAGAGCCGGCGAGCGAGGTGCGCTGCCAGCCCTTTTCCCCAAGCGCCTGAGCAGCTGCTGAGCGATGCCTGAGAGCGGAGCTCGCTCCCAGCCTGTCCTCAAAGAGCGCCTCCAACAGTGCCACCAACAGCAGCCGCCACCGCCACCTGGGCAGCCCCAGCACCAGCTCGGCCAGTGACAACAGCAGCCGCCACCACCACCTCTTCCAAGGAAGCGACTCTTTGGCTTTCTCAGCACCCCCAGCACCCAGCAGTGCTTCCTCCTCCTCCTCGGAGCCCCAGCTGGGCTAAGGAAACTCCTGGGTGTCTTCCTTGGGCTCTTGCTCCATCTGATGTGGAAAATCTGATGCGGCCCAGCCTCACCCAGACTCTGCCTCCAGCGGCCCCCAGATAAATTAAGTTTGAGACCCCTGCTATAGGTGATGCACTTGAGAATGATTTAGAAGCAAACTGTGCAATTTGAAATTTGTTGCCTTGCTCCTCTTTATTTGTTCAAAATCTACCTCCTGAACTACTTGTCCCCGTGTGAGAGAGAAGACATAGGGGTACTATAAGCTTTCCCCAATAGGGGAAAGTAAGGTGTAATTATTTTGCATAGATAACTAAGACTTCATCTGGAAGTTGTTCCTTGCTATGTTGTCACATAATTTATCTTGACTTTGGCTGACCAAGGGCCTCATGATAACCTGATTGGCAAGCCTACTAGGTGTGGGCTGAATAGAACAAGTGTCAGGTAGAGATACAGCTGGTTACAGAATCGTACTCAGAGAGTGCTTAGCAATGACTCCTTCTTAAATTGGGAAGGGGTAACAAAGAGGGTACCCCAAGGCTCAGTCCTGGGCCTGGTGCTCTTCCACATTTTTATTAATGATTTAGATAACGGAGTTCAGGAAATGCTTATCAGATTTACTGATGACACAAAATTGGGTGGAATATCTAATGCCCTGGAAGAGAGAAACAAAATTCAAAAAGATTTTGATAGGCAGGAGCATTGGGCTGAAAACATCAGAATGAAATTTAACAGGGATAAGTGCAAAGTTCAACTAGAGGGGAAAAAACAAACTCACAATTACAAGATGGAAGATACCTGGCTCAGTAATACTATGCGTGAGAAGGATCTTGGAATTGTTGTAGATTACAAGTTGTATATGAGCCAACAGTGTGAGGTGGCTGCAAAAAAGGCCAATGCTATTTTAGACTGCATTAACAGAAGTATAGTCTCCAAATCCTGTGAAGTACTAGTTCCTCCTGTCCCTAACCTGCAGCTTGTTTTGTCTTATAGTTGTGAATTGCGGTGAACCTAAAATTCTGACGAATGGGCACTTTGATTACGTATCTCAGGCAAGAAATAACAACTACCAATCAGTTGTCAGGTATCACTGCAATGAACCCTATTACCGCATGGTTGCTGATAGCAGGGGAGGTAAGTCCTAGCACAATAGGAATAATGCCCTTTCCATTCCCTCTAGCTCTGCCCTGTAGTTCGGTCGCCGACTTTTTCTGTGTATGTCTTCCTGGTTGAGGACCAAGAAAACACCATCCTTGGCTTCCCCCTTCTCTCTGCTCACTCCTTTCCATCTCCCTGGCCCAAACTCACCCTTTGCTGTTATTGCCTCCTTGTCTTCACCTCGCATTCCCTTCCCTGTCTTCCTTCCATTCAGCCACCTTTCTAAAAAAGGGTCTGCATGTCAGCAAAGAGCTGTAGCAACACAAACGAGACAGCTCCCCTCTCTGCACAAATCAAATATGGTGACCAAGAAAGGATGTTCTTATGACCCATCCTACCTCCATCGCCAGGAAGCTTCCCCAGAGCTTCTGCTTCAAGATTAAAGCTTTTATTTCCTGTTTCAGATGCCTACACCTGCACTCCGGAGGGTTCCTGGAAGGGTGAAGATGACCGTGAGGAAATCCCAGTGTGCCTGCCAGGTAACTAGAGACCAAGGGCCTCACTTCCACCTCTTCTGCCCTGATACTGTTTTGGAACTGGGAGTAACCCGTTGTCTTCTGAAAACAAGCAGAAAAGAGGAACAAACTAGAATGTGAGAATGAGAGAGTGGGAAGAGAAAAGAAAGAGCAAAAGCCAGCGGGTTGGTCACATAAGCCTTATGCACGTAGAAGTACCAGATTTTGCAGTGACATTATTAGCACTTGTCCCCACCATCCAAACAGTGTGAGGTTTATCTTGCTTCTTTTGATGCCCTTATTGGTGACTTACCATGACTTTTTGTCTCTCCTAAGAGTGGGTGTTATTTTAAGTTTGTTCCAAAGGGTATTGTTTAGTGCCATGGTCCTTCTCATTTGAAGTTTTTGTGTATGGGACAGGCTCCTGGATGAAAACTTTTAATGGATACTCATGTTAATAATTTTTTTAAAAAAAATTGAAAAGGAGAGAGACATAGCGGCAAACAAATCCAGCACTGAAGCTCTAGCAGGGACATTGAATTCTTTAAATTTTCTTGAAAGATTTCTTAAGATGTCTTTAAAAGAAGCATCTTCTTAGAGGAGAGGAGTGGGGCAGGAGAGGAGAAGGCAGAATGTACTGGGTTTGGATACAAAGCCTCATAAATGGTTTACTCCTCCAGCACTAAATGATAAAAAAAAGCAGGAAGGGAACAAACGCTCTGCCTGGAAGAGCCCACATATGTTTTACAGATATGAGTTCCGGAATTGAAGCAATCCAGATTTTCTGCTTAGACACAATTTTCCAGCATGACAAAAGCCTTGGCCTGAGAATTTCAAGGGACTTAGTTTCAAGCCCCATTAGCTGAGCAGACTGGGGCAGAATGGACAGGATCAGAGGGTGGCACCCACAGCCTACATGATAAACCCAAACGAAAGCCACAGCTTGCAATAGAGGGGAACCATGGAGGAGGGACAGGCAAGCCAGAAAAGCAGTCAATAAGTGTGTAGGGAGGGCAGCAGATATGAGGGAGAATAGAAAACTACCAGAGGAAAGTTTCTGGTGGCCAATTATTTGCCCAGACTGAGAGATCACATGGAATTTTGGAGTTACACTGCTGACAGTGTGTCTGGGGAGGGACCTGGCTGTCCTGGGTGAATGGATTTCCAAGCACACTAAAATTCTAGGATTCAGTGAAATGCCTCCTGGTAGTTTAATGAGTAGGTAGGCAGCCACCTCTTGACAACCCCATGTGTGGTTTGTCCTAACCTAAGAGCACCAATAGGAAAGAGAGGGAAGAATGTAACATTGTTCTGTTTAAAAAATCATAGAAAATAGTCCAAAGCAAGATTTAGCCAGGTGTTAAAGGAGAGCTTAGAGATTCGATGCAACAGCCTTTCTTATCTTTGTCTCCTTTTGCAGTATGTGGAAGTCCAGACAATCCCATCTTAGAAACCCAGCGGATTATTGGTGGCAGAAATGCTCCGCCCGCCAGTTTCCCATGGCAAGCAATGACTGTCATTGGTGGACGTGCTGGCGGGGCCTTGTTGGGTGACCGCTGGATCCTGACAGCTGCTCACATTGTGTACCCGAAGGGACGAAGTGACTCCGCGGAGATTCAGAGCCTTGAACAGATAGTTGAGAAGACCGAAGTCTTTCTGGGCCACACGGAAGTAACAGAAATCTACAAGCTGGGCAATCGGCCCGTCCGCAGGTTGTTTGTCCATCCAAATTATACTCAAAATGATGACAGCAACTATGATGCGGATATTGCACTGATTGAGTTGCGAGACCCAGTGACCCTTGGCCCTCACATGCTGCCTATCTGTCTTCCAGATCCAGGGAACAGTTCTTACTACCTTCCAGGGTGGATGGGTTACGCTAGTGGCTTTGGAGTGGAAAAGAATATCCTTGCTCACAGGCTGAAGTATGCACCCCTCCCAGTAGGCGACCGGGCGCACTGTCAGGAGTGGTTGAAAGCAAAGGACAAACAGGGCCTACGCTTCACGCTCAACATGTTTTGTGCAGGGTCTCCTTGGGAAGCAACAGATACCTGTCAAGGAGACAGTGGGGGAGCCTTGACTGTGCGGGATCCAGGGACTCAGCGTTGGGTGGTCACAGGCATTGTGTCGTGGGGCATCGGGTGTGGTAAAAGCTATGGCTTTTACACCAAAGTCATCAACTATCTGGACTGGATCAAGAGCATAGTTGGGCAGGATTGGGTCTCAATGCAAGCCCCATAGGGACCTCTTAAAGGAACGATGAACAAAATGATGGTTCAATGAGTGGAAGCGGCAGTTAGTTTTGGAAAGAAATGGCATCTTGAATGTGTTTTTCTTTTCTTGTTCTCATTATTGTCAGAGACAAGATATCATTCTGTACTTAATAAATAAATATGGCCTTAACGTACAGCCCCTTCCTGTTAAACTCTCTCTTGATCTAGGAATGCTTTAGCTAGTTGGTAAAGCAGATACTGTACAGTTTATCTGAACCCGTATTTATGTCATAGTTGCTAAAAGAGGGTTAGAGGGTGGAAAGGCTGTTGTGTTTTTGTGCTTTTAATAAGAGATTTTCCCACAGAAACCAGCACCCGAAGCTTCCATAGCGTTTAAAAAAATCTCATGTTAATGTCTTCATATTGAGAGGTTACTAGAAGCAAAGCAGACATCGCTATTCAAAACTTGCTCCTCTTCATTTTTTCAGAATAAATCTAGTTTGCTTGACCTGTTACATTCAAATCCCTCAAAATAAATTTCCAACATTTTTCTGCACCTTAATTGGTAGGACTTCTGAGAACTAGATAAAATGGCTTTGTGGTGGGCCACTTTTTGCCACATTTGATACCCAATAAGTAAAGAGTGGTTCATACATACTCGTGTATCATCTTGGTTCACTGCAACATGCCACCACGTCCCTGTTACATTCAAATCCCTCAAAATAAATTTCCAACATTTTTCTGCACCTTAATTGGTAGGACTTCTGAGAACTAGATAAAACAGCTTTGTGGTGAGCCACTTTTTTGCCACATTTGATACGCAATAAGTAAAGAGTGGTTCATACATACTCGTTTATCATCTTGGTTCACTGCAACATCCAGACCTGAATTACTGGATGGTGTCATCACGGATGCAACATGACTATAGAACGTTCATATAATTATGTTTTTTTCAGTAGAGGCTGATCAGATCAATGGGATATTCACATGCGCCACTGAATGTGTGTGTTCACACTCTGTATGTCTTCTTTCTTGGGTGGTTATGAGAATCTGTCTCCATGCATTTATACCTGATTGGTACCTACATATCAGAATCCTAAGTAATCCTGGGTACATACCTTGGTTACTTTGTTTGAATGAATAGCTACAGGTTCTCCAGATAATCCACCCCTTACTCATTAACTGGCACTTAAGGTCTCAATAACTCACAGTGACACATACGTATAAAAAATAATAAAAACATTTCATTACTCACAGTTGTCAACAGATCCACCACAAACAAAACAATTGACTCCTTCCAACAGGCTAAAAAAAAGGAAAGAAACACTCAAACAGAGGTGGGACTCTCTTTGAATTCAGAGGTGGGAGGGAACAATTGATTAATGCTGGATAGGTCGGCACTCACCCAAGCCCAGAAAAATCACTCCCAATCATCCAAACCACATGCAACATATGACACGCCCAACAAAATTCAGGGTTTGAAGTTTCTCCTCACTTCCCTCTTCTATATAAAGCCACCATCCCTACCCCAATTTTCAGCCACATTTGAGAAAAACTATATGAATTGAAAAGGTATTTTGATTTTGGCTTATTTAATAGATTAATCTTCCATTGAACCCATCTCAATTACAATTTTTCTGTACCGCTCATGAAATATTATTTAATAGATTAATCTTCCATTGAACCCATATCAATTACAATTTTTCTGTACCACTCATGCATAAGCCTGAAGAAGTGGGATTTTGTCTATGGAAGCTTGCTGTTCTTTTAGTGGCCTGATAAAAGTATCACCTGCTCTTGCATTGATAGTGACATTTATGATACGTGCATATATTGAATTTGTTTCAGTAGATCAAGATCAGATAATAAAGTACAAAATACCATAATGATTATCCTCATTTGTTAAAACATTTAAAATCAGAAAATGCAAACCTTGACAATGAACAAAGTGGGCAGTAAAACCCGTCAGGGATAGCCTGCATTTAAGGGATAGCCAATAACGTAAGAGTTACAACAGTCTGCCTCATACTGAAATTGTTGAATGCACACCCATCATTCGTTCATTCGTTCGGCTTTTACCCTGTCTATCTAGATTCTAAATAAATCTACTTTGGGCATCTTGCAGTCTAAGCAAAATAAAACCAAGAATTAAAACAGACAGTACCAGAACAAAAGAGAGATGAGCAGAGTCGAAGATGGGAGAACACAGAACTAAGTGATGGAAGGGGGGAAGGCCTGCCTGAAGAACCAAGTCTTCAGCTTGTTCTTAAAAACTCCCAGGGTGCCAGGTGAATCTCAGGGGATAAGATGTTCCAGAGGTGAGGGGCCACCACCACGAAGACCCAATTTCTAGTTCTCTCCTTCTGGGCCTCTAGGGGTCAATCCCCGCAGCCACTTAGCCTGGCTATCAAGTGACATGAGTAGAGCTAGGTGGAAGCAGGCTTTATATATAAGCATTAATACCTTGAAGTCAATGTGGAAACTAATGGGCAACCAGTGTAAGGCCACCAGAGTGGGGGAAATATGATATTTTTCACCCTGGTTAACAGTCTGATGGCTGTGTTTGAGTGGGGGAAATATGATATTTTTTCACCCTGATTAATAGTCTCTTGGCCGTGTTTTGGACTATTTGTAGTTTCCGCATCAATCTCAAGGGCAGCCCCATGTAGAAGGCATTAGAGTAGTCTAATCTCAAGTGAGTGCATGGACCAGAGTGGTGAGCACCTCTACATCAAGATAGGAGCGCAGCTGGGCAATCTGCCAAAGATGTAGATCAGTGGTGCAGACCACAGACGCTACCTGGGGTTCCATGGTAAGTGCTGGGACAATATGGACCCCCAAGCTGTGGACCACACTCTTTGTGGTGAGAGTCACCACCCCCCAAAAGAAAGGGAGCTTCCCAAATCACTGACAGGAGGGGTGCCCACCTTCAAGACCTCCATCTTGTCCGGGTTCAGCCTCAGTCCATTCTCCTGCATCCATTGCCGTACAGCCCCCAGGCGGCGCTCAAGGGAGGCAACAGCATCCACTGCTGTTGGAAAAAAGGAGATGTAGAGCTGAGTGTCATCAGCATACTAATGACATGAATAACCACTTCCCTAGAGGACCCCTCCCAGTGGCCTCATATCGATATTAAACAGCATTGGGGAGATGATTGAACCCTGCGGAATCCCACAATTGAGGAGCCATGGGGCTGATACATTATCTCCAAGCTGAACTCTGGGAATGGTCCTCCAAGAAGGAACGGAGCCAGGCCACTGATCCCCAACTTGGAAAGCCATCCCAGGAGGATACCGTGGTCTATGGTATCAAACTCGGCTGAGATATCAAGAAGAACGAACAAGGACATTTTGGCCCTATCAACCTCCCTCAGTAGTAATCAAGCAGGACGACCAATGATGTTTCTGTACTGTGACACGGCCTGAAGCCCGGCTGAAACAGATCCAGGGCATTGGTTTCATCCAAAAGAGCCTGAATTTCATCGGCCACTACCCTGTCTACAACCTTGCTAAGGAAAGAAACATTGGCAACGGGCCTATAATTGTCAATATTGTCCATCGTCAAGCTTGGTTTCTTCCTAATGGGTCTAATGAGTGTCTCCTTGAGGGCAAGGGGAACCCTGCCCTCCTGGAGAGACCCATTAATTATTGCAGTGGTCCATTCAGTTGTCACAGGCCTGTCCGCTTTGATTAGCCAGGCCGGGCAAGGGTCAAGGGAGGATTTGGTGGCACGGCAGCAATCAAGTGCCTTGTCAACCTCAAGTGACGTCACTGGCTGAAAGTAAGTAATTCTCATCGGACAAGACAGTGCACTGAATGTCTCAGGTCGATCTACTGGTTTCAAATAGGGGGCAGACGTAAACCCCTATTTGAAATTCCACTTTAGCTTTTAAAAATGCTGCAAATTGGTCCGGTGAGATACTAGGGGGAGGCCAATCACTGTGACCAATTCCGGATAGATTGCGTACTATGCGGAATAATACCGCCTGCTGGTTGGAAGCTTCGCTTGTCTGGACAGCGAAGTAAGCTTTCTTTCCAGCCTTTCTTTTAGAAAGGTAAAGGTTGGACGCATTCCTAACAGCTTTTAGGTTATTTTCCATCGGGTTCCGCCTCCAAATGCTCTCCAGTCTTCTCTTGTTCTGCTTCATAGCTCTCAGCTGCTGGTTAAACCAGGGCACTGGTTGAGCTCTGCAATGGAGAGGATATTTAGGAGTGATCATGTCTATAGCCCTGGTGGTGACGGTGAATTAGCCATCAAGCCTCAATGGGACTGCCAGCCAGATCAATCTGAATCCCTTGCATGGAGTCCTGGAATCCTATTGGATCCAGTAGCCTGCGAGGGCAGATCATTAAATTAGGTCCCTGCTCCCCGTGGGGGCAGGGAGAGAGCCACTGTAAAGTTGCATTTTATTAAGTGGTGATCCGACCATGACAAGAGGACAGAGACAAGGTAAGTCACTATCAGACCACACTCCCTCTGCTCAGAAGAGAACACCAGGTCTAGCATATGACCACCCACGTGGGTGGGGCCGTTAACTTGTTGGGACGTGTCCAAGGAAGCCACGGTTTCCAAGAACTTAAGAGCTGGACGCATAGACGTTGAAATTACCCAAGACGAGTAGCCTCGGGGATCCCAACAGAGCTGCAGAGACGAAGTCCGCCAGCTCCGGTAAGGAAATGGCTGGGTCGCGGGGAGCACGTTATACCAGCAAGATCCCAATACCATTCCTGGCCCCAAATGACATGTGGAGGGCCTCCAGACCAGGTGTCACCACAACAGAGAGCCTAACAACCTCCAGAGTGTTTCTAGAAACAATGGCCACACACAGAGACATGACCCTCCAGTCTGCCTTGGTATTGGACAGCACAACCAGGAAGGCAGGCAAGGGACAGAGGAACGCCCCCATTGCTGCCCATTCAAGTTTCGGTTATGCAGGCCAGATCTGCATCCTCTTCCAGAATTATTACCATTTCCCCAACCTCCTGGACGATGCCTGCTTGAAGAAATTTTTCTGCACGCATCTCAAACTCTGGCCTCTTCTGCTCAGAATACTCTGATTGATACATTAATAAGATTTTGATTTTGCCTACGTTTCATGTGTGTCTGTGATTCTGAATGGTGCAATGCCCTGATACAAAGAAAGACAGACAGACAAACTGTGGGCTTCGCCCCATGTGAGTTTAAAACCTACTGCAATGTATTCATTTACGGAATTACTGAATTATTGAATAATTTGTAGAAATTCCATCCCATTTGTCAGCTCAGTCTACAACCCACAACGTCAACCTATGATATAGAACACATAAGCAATGTTTTATTCTTCTTCGTAAGCCACCCCAAGTAGACTCTGTCTAGAAGGGCAGGGTAGAAATCAAATAATAAATAAAAAAATAAAATAAAAGTTATCCCAGAATGAAACACTTTGTTTTCAAGGTAGAAATCAAGTTACAGGCTTTTGTGACCCCTCAGAAAAGCCAAAGAATAGAAGGAAGTTTGGGAGTTTGTTACACTGCATGCCTCCCTAATTCTCCTCATGACCTTCTCCTCTATTCTCAT